GGCAAGCATACTGACTCAATGGGCCAGAAGATTCTGGCCAATTATTATTATTATTATTATTTTATTTTTTTTATTTTATTTTTTGTATTATTATTTATTTTTCTATTCGAATCGGCTATTTCATAACTATGCTATAAGAAAAAACACTTATTTTTCTTTGCGATTGTCAGCTATGGAGTTTAATATTTTATTAATTTCTGTCTAACTGAGAAATAAAGATTTGATGCTGTTCAACCACAGCAGAGGGATTTGAAATCTTCAGAAACACAAAGAAAGAGCTTTGCTCAGAACAGCACCAGTGTCTGGAAGGAGAATGTTAAAATACCTCAAACACTCTGCTCTCTCTGGAGTGCTTCGCCTCACAGCTATGAACGCTACAGCAAACATAAACTGGTGCAAAACAGGCAAACACATGGACACAAGTATGGAAATCAATGCACATGTGTTACACATGCGAGCACACCGGGTCAACAGGCCATGGCAAGCCCACGAAACGGTGATTTTAAGGGGTCCCATCATCATTGAAAACGTACAAACAATCATCGAGGGATGCCTTTTTCACCACAACACCTGCGTCTGTGGATGATCCTGATCAGGGAGGGTTTCCAGAGCTTGTTTGTGGTGGAAGAGGAAACACTTGAAGCTTTTTCACTGAAGAGCAGCTGCGCTCAGCTCAGTTAAATCTCTGAATTTGCTTCAGAGTTTTTATTTCACAAGTTGTTTTTTTTCTTATCAGTGGAAAGAAATGTACTCATTCTTGCCAAGGAACACAGTCTGTTTTTATTTATCGGTCTATTTTTGATCAAACGTCATCATTGTTCCCAACAAAATTCATCCACGGACTTAACACTGATGGTCAAATGAACTTCAGCTATTTCAAATGCTGCTCTCACCTCATTAACACATTTCAGACCACAGCAACATGATGGATATAATACGTGAGTCAGGGATTTCACATAAATCAACCGCAAAGACAATTTGGTTATAACTTTTAAATGAAAACAAGTTTTTGACACTTAAAAGACTTTGTACTTGGAGGGTTATGTGTTATTATCTGTTAAGATCTGGTATTTATGACACCATATCAAAAGTCAATAATGATGAAAAAGCGCATCACTATCTGTTTGCCACACACAGCTACATTTAAAGGATTTACCTTCTATTATGTCAAATAACCTACTCCTAAAATCAGCCCAACTGCCTAATATAGAGCATGCTCTCCCCATCTTACCAGTCAAAGAACATACGAAAGTGTCCTGGAGCTTCTTCGGGTCAAAGGTCAAAGTGAAATTCATTTGAGACTCAGGATCCTTCATCCTAAGTGTTTCTGAGAAAAATGTTATATTGGATAAAGGTGGGAAGTATCATACACTTTAGCAAAGGCTGATAAATTTGTTTTGATGTTTACATTTTTCTTTTCCATTTCACCAAAAATCGAACCGACTCAGATGTAAGAAAATGTAGTTTTGATTACACAAACACTTTTGTGCTTTAATCATGTCTTGGATGATTAAAGCCACAGATCTTCCTCCTGAAATGCATCTGCTCTTTTTTAGAATACCTAAGTTCCCCTTCACTGGAGGCAGAGGATCAGTCTCCAAAGTATTTCGAGATTTACAAACCGAAAAGAATGTGAGGGGCTGATGAAAAACTATACGAGTGGTCCTGGGCATTGGCCAAAAAAAAAAAGCCTCGGGAGGCCAAACGAGCAGCAGGCGGGAGAGGAAAGAGGAGGAAGGGCCGCCCCCCCAGAGCTGGGGACACACAGAAAGAGATGCACAGGGCGGGGGGGGGGGGGGGGAGAGGGGTGAGAGAAGGAAAGGGGGAGTGCTAGCCCTGCAGCTATCAGTTCTAGTAGGAGGAGAAGAGGGTGGGAAGAGTGCGTTTAAGGTGGGGAGGGGGGGGGGGGGCAGGAGAGAGCTCAGACACAGGCCGCCTGCTTACACTCGAAAGGGAAGGAAGGAAGAGAAGAGATCCAGAAAAAAAGGGCTGGATGTTTGTTAGTTTGAGTTTGAGAAGGCCGTAGGGACACTGGGACTTAAGTGTCAACATCAGGATACTGGTAAGGTAAGGTGGAAGTTTCAATTTTGGGGATTAGCAAGGCCTTAATATCCTGTTCAGACCAGATAAGGGAGGTTTGGTTTATGTATTTGCATGTGTGGCTATTCTATGGTGAAACTGTCTGAAGTTAGAAAGGTGGGGCTCACTGGTCTTGTGATGGGATGGATGCAAATTCATTTCGTTTGTGTGTGTGTGTGTGTGTGCGCATGTTGTTGAGCTGCAAAACCCTCGTGAGATGGGGAAGACGCGCTCAGATAGAAGTCCTCTCTGTGCCAGAGGCCCGGCGACCAATGAATGAGCATCCTTGTAAAGAGGAGTCAAAGCAGGGGAGTCTCCCCTAACGGTCCCTAGGGCCGCTTTCTGTTGCCTCTGTTCCTCATTACGTCTTTAACAAGCTGCTATTATGCGTGTAAAACATTCAATTAACCCAAACCCATCTTAGCTATAAAGCCTTTTTGCAGATTGGAACTGAATCGTTTAAAATGACTGATTTTTGTATTAATGTGAGATGTTTTTTTTTATATTTTCTTTGTTTAGTTGGAATTTGTCTCTATTGGACGGGCATAACCAGATTTGCACCCGGGAGGGATAAAGAGACATCCATGTTTTTCTTTGTCTGTTGCTTGGGCAAGATAAACCACAAAAATGAGCTGGCAAAAAAAACTGTTCAACAATCAAACCGCTGCCAGTGTAAGAATTCATTCTGAACCGTTCCCCCTTGTGTTTGAATTATTAAGCCTAACTTCCCCACAGCCTTCAATAGCAAATGTGTTCGTCTGTTAAAATGTTGGCTGTTATGAAATAAAATCATGTCTGAAACAAACATATCTATAAACAGCCAATCACGGGGTTACAGATGTGGAAGCAGGACATGTGGAGCTTATACCAGTCGTGGATTTATTTGCTTGTACTTGTGGTTTGGTGAGGTTCAAACAAAAAAAGAACACATATAAGGCATTATAAGCCATATTTTATTATCTGTGGATTTGGGGTGTTTTCATGTAAATTTATTGTTATCATTATTTTTAAAGCAACCCAAATCTTCTGTTTTGGTTCAATTAAAATTCTAGAAAATGAGACAAAACATTAAGCAAACTAAAGTTACAAACAAAACATTTTGATCTCAATATCAGCGTGACCTTATAAGCCCTAGAAAAAGAGTTTTTGTCAGACATGTCTGTCTTGTCATAAACCTTTATGTAAGGTTTCTAAGAAATTTAAGGACAGTATTGACCTTTTGGTAATGTGACCTACAGCTTCAGACCTTCATGACGCAGCTCAAAGGCCTTAAGCATCCATGAACGGAAGTTAAACAGGATAAAATGATGCTTTTCATTGGAATCTGAAATGCAAAAAAATGATAAGATGAACATATTTAAGTTTTGAGGTGGATCTGAGTAAATATCATTTCTAGCTGAGTCTCAACCTCTAATTGCTAGTCTTTTAAAAAAGGTTGGACTATTCATTTCAGGATCTGAAACAAAATTAAAATAAAAAAACTCTCATTAAACACAGAAGAAAAGTACTGTCCCTCGTTCTTGTGTTGTAATCTGGATGCCATTTGTCCGGCCGGCTTTGAGACTGGACAACACAACAGCAGCATGTTCAGAGGACGTTTCCATTTGCATCCCCCCCCCCCCCCCCTCCTCCTTATCAGCAGAACAATGCTGAATGGAGGATTGCCTGATGTCATCCGGCATCACTGCCACTGATCTGACCACAGTCATAAATCCTCTCCCCGCAGTTCCTGTCGGGAACCAATACAGCGTCCATCATTAATGTCTGGAAATATGCTCATCCTGTTTGTTCAAGCTCAAACTCAAAATGTGGGCATGTTCAGTGGTGAGCATTCCCCTGGTCTTTGGCCCTTTTCGGGCAGAAGTCGTTGGACTTCCACCCCCTATGGTTGTGTAATCATTTAAGTTACACACGTTCTTGTAACTTGTTCTTATTTCTTCGTTTCCGAGGCGTGGAACAGACGGGCTACAGATAGGTTGAAGAATATATTTTATTTGACAAACACAGAATACATCTTTCTTCTACTCGAGTCACATCCCAACTAAATTTACCCCTCTTTTATATCCTCCCCCCAAAAGTCACAATAGCCTGACCCCGGAACTAACATTCTCCTAATCCGTTTAATATAGAAAACAAATACAAATATATAGAAAACAAATGCAAATATATAGTAAACAAATACAAATATATTGAAAACAAATACAAATAAAATAATTGTGTAAAATATTTTGTTACAGCTGCACCAGATCATTTTAAAAAATCACGTGCTCCACCCTGTCTTTTATTAAAAAATACTCTAAAATCAAACGCAACCACTTCTCTTTTGTTGCGTAGCTGCAAACAATGGCTGTTTTCTTTGTTTGGACCCATGTGAAATACAGTGGCGCAAAACAATCAGCCGCCTGCTGTCGGCTCCTCATAAATCTGCGTTTTGTAGGGGAACCGGGTGTCTGTAGGAATCGTCTGCATTTACTGAGCCTCTTTCCAGACACATTAAACGCCGTTTCTGGGGCAACTTGCAAAACAGTTTTTCGCCCCTCGAACGCCTCACACCCATCCCCGGTTTGGATGCTTTCCCACAGCAGCGTGTGTGAGCGTTATCATGTCTGCACAGATGGGAATGCCCACCCCATGTCGCTGGGTTTGGAGGTTTCGAATGTGACATTATATTTCACTGAATATTTCTTTATCATCGTCCTCATCATTAAAGAGCCATCCTGGCGTCTGAGGACCTGAGTGAAGACGCTTTGGGCTGGGGGGGTCGTGGGTTGTGGGGTCTTTGTGTCTTCGGCTAGAGTCCCACAAATGCCATAACATAACAGAGTGACAGAGTGATGAATCAATACATTTTTATTCAGTTTTGTAGAAAAAATTATCTAAAATTTCCTTTTTATGATTTGTAACTCTGAAATTCCACGGTGTGCTCATAGAGCCCGTTCAGTCTTTTTGTTGAGGCGTTGCTCTTCAGGGAGGCCCTTTTAACCCTGTAATGCCAAATAAATCATATTTGATACACACGGTTTCTGAAATGTTTTGCGTCTGACACCTTTTGCATCATTTAATGGTGAAAACTTTGCTCAAAACCCTATTGTATACAATCAGATACACCTGATAACAGGGGGCAGAAGACTACACAAAAAATAATCTTGACTTATCACATAGTAATACATTACTAATAGCAAAAATGTATTTTTGTTTTTTCTTTTTACATATTTTGTTTAAAAGCCAAATAAAGACTTAAAACAAAAAAAAAAGTAATTTTCCGTTTTGTTTTATTCTTGGATCAGGCTATAAAGGGTTAAAGCTGAACTTCAGCCTTTTTTAAGGGTACATGATGATTGTACATGGCAAACACATCACATCATCCTGAAGCTCTTTCAGAGACTGAAACTCAATTTAAACTTCAATGTCAATACAAATCACTCATCAAGTTTAGTTGCTTTTACTCAATTTAAAATATATCAAGAGCCAGCGGCAATGTGTCATTTTCTCCTCTCCCTGTTTTGTCCCTCCGATTTTGGGTGATGAACACATCAGAATCAGATTTAGAATCAGAATAAGGTTTATTGCCAAGTAGGTTTTTGACTTACAAGGAATTTGCCTTGGTGTTTGGTGCACAACACTTCTGTGAGAAACAATGAAATACAATGTAGAAATAAATTACATTAATGTGGACCTCAGTAATATTTTCTGGGGCTTGTTTCTCCATGTGTGTCAGTGATTATTAGTACGAAACGCAGACAAAATTCTCAATCTCTTGTCGCATTCGTTCTCCTCACAGATGTCATGGCGTCCGACCTACCGAAGCTCCAAGTTTCGAAATGTCTACGGAAAGGTGGCCAACAGGGAGCACTGCTTCGACGGCATCCCCATCACCAAGAACGTCCACGACAACCACTTCTGCGCCGTCAACTCCAAGTTCCTGGCCGTGGTCACGGAGAGTGCGGGCGGAGGCTCCTTCATCGTCATACCTACAGCCCAGGTAAAGTTTAAAAGGAATAAATGGATGGTTCCCTTTTATA